GCAGGACAGCAGTAAACGTAGTAATTATTATAATTACAGGACAGCAGTAAACGTAGTAATTATTATAATTACAGGACAGCTGTGAGTTTGAAGCAATTGTTCCAGAAATGACTGAGGAAGATTTTGAGCGAACTGCAGACTCCATTCTTCACGAATACTTTGAACACGGAGATACAAATGAAGTCGCTGTAAGTTTATGAAGTAAATTCTGCTTTAACATGTCATAGCATTAAGTATGTTTCTTTCGGCAAGATATAGGAATAGTGAATTTTTACAGTTTCCCGTACTTTGCTGAAAAGTTTTTTATATTTTTTGTATAATTTTGAGAAAAATCATGATTTGTTTTTTCTGAATACACGGAACATTGGACTTAGGAAATTTTGTACCAAACATAAAAATAAATGTATGATTTAGACAGATTTTTTATTGATAGTTCTTAATCTTAATATGAAAGCTAATGAATGAAAAATATATTTTCTATATACTTTTAGTGTGTGTAAAGCAAGTACAGGAGAAAGCTGATGGAGTGAGGAAATAGCAGTTTTTTTTTTGTTATTTAATTCAAAATATTTGTGTAGATTTGACAGACTCAGAAAATCTGTTTGTTTATGTTTTTTGATTTATTTTTCTTAATCGTTATTTATGAAACATGTAAACGTGATAATAGAAACAAAGAACGATGCAAGTTATAGTGGATTTACAAGATAGTTAGGTGTTGATGAACTTAATAACTTTGATCATTATTTGTCGAAGTGAGCAAGATCTACGCAGTACCAACTTCTGATAAAGATTATGAGACTGTTGTGCATTAATCTTTTCAAACTGATATTTAGCTTTAGGTTTTATGGAATATATGTGTGAATTTTATTAATAGAAATATAGAGCAAGCAACGGAAAATAATTGTTTACTGGTTCGTAACTAACAGTTGTTGAAGAATAAATAAAAACAAACTCTGACAAAGACGCGCATTCAGGAAACAGATGTAGAAGTTGTGAAAAGTATCCCAAAATTGCAAATTTATTTTTTAAATATATCTTTGTAAATATACAATGCATTTTCTTATTATGTGGGTACTATTTTGGATATTAAATAAGACAATAACCTTTTTAAAGGTTAGGCTCTTTTGATCTGATGTCCAGATTTTTTTGTATTTATGTGGGCATGGGATTTCTTTATTTAGTATAACTTTTAAAATGATTTCAGTTAATGAATAATGCTATCGTGAGATAAAGAAATATTTACCTTACCTTGTCTTTGTAAGGTTAGGCTTGAAATATTTTTGTATTTGATAATCTTCTAACAGAGCCTAATCACTTTATATTGTTGCCTTTTACTGATTATATTTTGAGCATGAGTTGTGTTTATAAGCATTTTTCTTTGTTTGGTGTTTTGTTAACTGACACCAGTGTGGAATCTTCGAATCTGAATGTTATCGAGTTAACTCTAGAATTACCAATGAATTCATTTTCCAATGCTGTTTGTGCACCAAATTGATTGTGGGTCTGTACTGTTGGTGAAAAGGTTCTTAATAGCATATCGGTCACAAAAAATTGTCTGAAGTACCACCAATATTGCAGTTAATTCCATGAATTATTACTGAAATCCATTGTGTATCTTACTTAGAAAATGAGTGATTTCACCCAAGGTTTTGGTCAGTTCTTTACACCGAGTATTGAAACTGTGTATTATTTGGACCCCATTGGTAATGAACAGTATAAAACAAATATATAATTTGAGGGTAAGACAAGAGAATAGGCTTTATACTTTATGAGATTATATGGTTAATTAAAATGATTTTTTAATGAATATTTAAACTTTAAAACATTAACATTTTATTAAATTTCATCTGTTACCTTTCCAGTCAGCTGATGCACATTAACTGTGCTTGGACTGGACCTAGCTAATGTGAAATATCCATGTTTAATATCAACTCAAATCTGTTTTAAAAGAGTCGTAGCAATGCAAAAACTTCCCAACAGAGATCACCTTTACAATTATATTTTGAAAGATAATTGCTGAAATATTTTACATTGTATTTTTTTAATATCAGATCCACTTTATAAATGTTTTATAACATAATTCTGATTTCTGATGCAAGGGGCAGAGTGGCTTTGGACTCGTAGATGGATCTTTGGGTGTTCGAAGTTGACCCGCATCATGCTACTGGTTCCTTGAGCAAGACACTTTATACCATTTATTCCAGTCTACCCAGTATGGTGTTTTCAAACGATACCTAAAACTCGAGCTCTTTCAAATGGTTGACTATTCTTTTTCTCAACTATTCTAAAGCACTCGAGTTTTTAGTCTCATTTGAAAACATTACAACTTTGGTAGGTGATCTTGTGTGTTAACTTCTTTAACAGCTGTATGATGTGTGTTAGCTGGAGGTTAACTTGTGATGGACTGGCATCCAGACTAGGGGGGAATGTATCACTATTCTCATCTGCCGCTTGAAACTGTGTGTATTAGCTGTTAGCTGGAGGTTAACTTGTGATGGACTGGCATCCCGACTAGGGGGGAATGTATCACTATTCTCATCTGCCGCTTAAAACTGGAGTTTGAAAGCCTTATGTGTCTTTCAAAGGCATGATGAGGATATAACAAACACACATAACCATCATAGTAAACCATAAATATTTATTGTTAAATAAGAAAATACCGGTACCTTGATATTATATTAATATTGTTTTGAAATTATTAGTTTCTGATAAATTTATTTGTGGCATTACACTCTTATAGATGATTCTCCAGCAGTTAAACTTGGGTTCCTTGCGACCTCGACTTTTAGAAATGATGATTAACCTGGCCATGGAGAGGAAGCCTTCACAAAGAGAAATGACTTCTATTCTTCTGTCAGACTTGTATGGAAGGGTGATGGCTGAGGAGGACATTGAACAAGGCTTTGATAATCTCATCAACAGCTTAGGTGACCTGGTGCTTGACATTCCCGATGCTCCGACAGTAAGTTGTCAGCAAAACATTTATTAGTCTGTTACACGTAAAATAGTTTTATTACACGTGTTAATTCATTTTGTTGCTAAAATGCATAATTCAAGAGGTTTCTGAAAATGCAATTTTTTTCTAATTAAGTATACTGTGTATCAATTGACACAAGAGCCAAAGTTTGTTACAGTCTACTGTGATCACGTCTGGTAGGTGATTAATGTTTAATGTTATTTACTGTGCTAATAAAACTACGTAAAACGAGTTCTTCAAAGTTAAAATCCTCTGTTATTTCTTTTAAATTTTTTGTGCAATAAAAAACAATAAAGTAGGCTTAACTGTTAAAGAATAAGTTTGATTTGTACCTGGTAACTTGAGTGTTGTGATAATATCCTCAATTTGTATAAAAATCATTTAACCCTCATACTATGGGCTCAGTTGAAGTGACCAAGTTCGTAACCTCAAAGTAACCATCAGTTTCTATACTATAACTTTTATGTCTAGTGTATCCTCACAAAATTTAGTAAGCTTTCGGTAAACATTACAAGTATTTTGACTAAAAACATGTCTGTGAATATATATAGTCAGAATGTTGACTGCTGCAAGTGCAAAGTGATTTTGATATTGAGATTAGAAATATTTTTTTTCAGTGGAACTTTCCTCTATCTGTTACTTTCTCTACCCTGACTCTACATCTATTTAGTCAATTTAATCAACCTCATAACCACCACAAAAAATACAAAATAAATCTAAATTACCCTTTTTTCTTTCTAGAATGACTTCAAATTGTAACATGAAACTACTGTTGTTTATCCTAAATAGCATATAACTCATAATAGTATACATCTGTTTATACTTAATTTTATTGCTCTCCGAACTGTGTCTTACATATAATCCTGCCACACAAGTTGTAAATCGCTCGACAAACTTGCAGCTCACATTACCATAGTGAATTACGTAATGCTTGAGGTGCTCGCGAACATACATCATTATTCATTATCTTAACGAATCTTATTTAATCGATAATATTTACATTTCGGTTACTTTTATAAGAATATGTAAAGAATACGCATGAAAAACAAGAAATGTAATACTTGGATCCTCCTGTTTCTTTGCTGTCGACTGTCAATGAAACTTTAGCTTACTTTTTTTATTTTGATGGTACTTGTACACTAAATGATTTTTATTTAATTAAATAATGCACTTAAGAATACAGGATAATAATGCACATGAAGTAAACAATATCCTAATTCTTTTATAATGTTTCTGGCTTTCTAACTATGCAATAAGAGCCTTTAAAAATTCAGCCGAACTTGTTGAAATGAATAACACGAGAAAATTTTTTGAACTGTAAGCAAAATAGACAATTTTCCCTACAGAAAACAACATAATATGTCATTTGATAGATTAAAACTTTGGCTTTCTATTGGTTATAAGTATGATACTATAAAACATCAGAGAACTATTGACAATTTGTGAAAGAGAGGGCATGACAGGTAGGCATGGCAAGTGGGTCTGATTTTTCTAGTTTATGGCTCTGTAAACAAATAGATTGAAGGATATAAGAAGTGTGTTTTGCCTGAGTAATATCTATATTATAATAAGTAATTTATGTTAAATTCTGTACTTCTCAGAGGGATGGTAAATAAATTAGAGAAAGGGAAGACCTATGAAACGAGGGGGAGACTTAAGGATTTTTTTTATGTTTCGTTATAAAAGTAAGAACTTAAAACGTATAATATTAAAATTTGATTTATTAACTACGTTTTGATGCCAGGTTTATTCATACACAATGATAGTATAGTAGTTTTATGAAATTTTAAACATAACTCTTAACAGTCATGACATACACACTTTGATCTCGCCTCCTTGCATAAGGATTTGTGTATTGTTTTATTTTTTAGAAATGAAATGTTTTAGGTCTTAAAATAATCTGTGTTTCAGTAAGCTTGCTCTTTTACCATATCTTAGAAAGATCTGGTTTTATTGTCCAATAATATCGGTTTGATAATTTAGTCGAAATGTATTTAGATGCTAGGAAATTTTGTTGCACGAGCTGTTGCTGATGACTGCATCCCGCCAAAGTTTGTGCATGGATACAGAGGCAAGTTGGAAGACGAATACTCCAGGTAAAGTCTCTCGCCGCTATGTAAGTTGTTATTAGAATAGTGGCTTAAACATGTTTTCGCTTGGCTTGTAATTAATGTCCATTTTTAGGAGTTATAGTTAAAAACCAAACTTAATTTCAAAGAAAACACTCAAATTAAATATTTTGATACCTGATTAGATTATATAAACATTTAATTTTTATGGTGAACCACTTGCTTTATTATGAACATTGCCAGGGAAATGATTAGTGATTATTGTATTCAGAGTTTTAAATGTTTCTTAAGATTCTAATAAATAAGGCACAAGTACTTTTGTTTTTGTAATATTTAAATCGTATATAATAGTTTTTATCTGAAGTACTGCATACACATGATGGTAAGAGAAATCAATCACAGAAACATTTTAAATATATTACAAAGTTTTTTGCTCTGAGTATATATATATATATTATTTATTTTTAGGGCAGCATTGGAACATGCTGAGACACTTCTGAGCATGAAACATGGCCTTGTTCGATTGGATAATGTCTGGGGAGAAGGTGGGGGAATGCGACCTGTGCAGTACCTCATCAATAAGGTTGTTTATGAATACGTTAATCATCCTTTTATGATATGAAACAATGTAATGTGGTAATGTTATTTTTTCAGTTGATATCCCCCCACACACACACACACATTCAGACTAGAAGGTTCGACTGAAGAAGACACATGTTGAAACGTGTATCCATGTAAATTTGGTATTGTTACATTATTGTGGATTTAAGCTATTTTGGATTACATAGTATTTTCCTACTGTTAGAACCTCAATTAAACTTTGTCCCAAACTATGAAACTACTCCATATTATGTAAACAACTCCAATGGCAACCTCCAAACCTGAAAGTTACTTTTTGATTCTATACAGGATCAAAATGTGTTTGAGGAATGAACAAGACAGTTTGAATTCATTAATTTTCAAAAACAGTTATTAAAGAAAACATTGGACTTAAAAAAATGTACTATTAATTAAGTACGCCTAGATGAAAAAGTCCTTACTAGCTTCCATGGTCAACTGGTCGTCACTGGGGATGGAGTATAATAGCAGTTTGTTTGTGTATACTTATCTCTGTTTTATTTTATAATCCAGTTAATAATACAGGATTATTTTTCTTCAGGTTGTTATAACTAGTTCTCTCTGTAGATTAAGGCAATGACACAGGAATACTTTTCTTTAAGTGATGATAACTAAAGGTGATGATGCAGGAATGCTTTTCTTTAAGTGATGATAACTAAAGGTGATGACGCAGGAATGCTTTTCTTTAAGTGATGATAACTAAAGGTGATGACGCAGGAATGCTTTTCTTTAAGTGATGATAACTAAAGGCGATGACGCAGGAATACTTTTCTTTAAGTGATGATAACTAAAGGCGATGACGCAGGAATACTTTTCTTTAAGTGATGATAACTAAAGGCGATACCGCAGGAATGCTTTTCTTTAAGTGATGATAACTAAAGGTGATGACGCAGGAATGCTTTTCTTTAAGTGATGATAACTAAAGGCAATGATGCAGGAATACTTTTCTTTAAGTGATGATAACTACCGTTCAACATTACTTTTCTAGATGCAGTTGTTGTTGCAGGAGTATTTATCTTCAGGTGATATTAATGAAGCCACGAGATGTCTTCAAGAATTGGAAGTTCCACACTTTCATCATGAACTGGTTTATGAGGTAATTTTTTAATTCCCATGCTTGTGCTTAAATATTCACAGTGAAAAAAATTTCCCTTTCAATTATGTACTACAGCTGGCCAGTGTCGGCTAACAATACGAAGAATTAAATTGTGGCGGAATGCTACAAGTTCTTCAAATACCTATAGAATGATAGGTTTCTTTTTTGTGAGTGTAAAACACTTAAATACACCATTTCGAAAAGTGTAAAGAATTTCTAAACTGACAGCATAGAGCACATCATTCCTTGAGTTTATAAATCTCAGAAAAGTAATTTTATTAAGGTACTGGCTTTTTCTAAGTTTTAAAATCTTAAACCTATTGCTTCTAATATTCCACAGAGTGGTACAGCAGTATGTCTGTGGACTTCCAATGCTAGAAACCAGGTTTTGATACCTGTGGTGGGCAGAGCACAGATAGCTCATTCTGTAGGTTTGTGCTTAACTTCAACAAACATGCTTTTAATATTTAAATTTGAACCCCTAAGTTTTTAAATCTGAAGTAAAATTTAGGAGACAACAAGGAGCTTGTTGTCTTATCCAGATTATAAAAACAAAACAATCCAGTCCTGTTCACTTAAATATTTATGAAGTATTCATTTATATTTATTGCATCTACTATATCTGAAGGCAACACAATCCAAAAGTCAGCTACACTGTTAGAAAGTAAAACTGTCTAAGCTGAAGATGACTCCTACCCTGCCAAAATTTATATTTCTACTCCCATGTTCTATCTCACTGAATAAGAATGATCATGATGCACCAATATTATCAATTTCCTTACCACTCTTGAGCAGTTCATTCAGTTTTTATCTAATGTCTTTTTTTGGTGGAAACAATTTCATAGATATTAACATGAAAGACAAACTTTACATCTGAGGTGTATCATTCTAATAGCCTTTTTTTTTAGTCATTTCTAACAATTCAATGTCCTCCTTGAGGTAAAGAGCCAAAGACTGAACACAATACTCCAGCCACTTATACAAAGAATTGATAATTTTGTTAGACTTGTTCAATATTTATACGAGTACAACCCAAACTTTTTTGCTCCACTAAGAGAAATAGCTCGATCACCACAGTAAACTTATATTTATATAGGATTTGAAGAATATGTAGCATTGATATTACTCATTTGTTTTTTTTAAAACTATGGAGAATTTCCTTCCGGTGTAATTAATTGCCTAATTTCTTTTAAAATGTTTGACATGATTTCCAGTAGCAAATTTTTTTTTCTACATCTTTAACAGTCAGTAACAGCCATTTACTGCATTCCTAAACACTACTTCCCAAGCTGTCTAAATTTAGATTGGATATCCAAACATCATTCTCTAATCTTTATCCTTTTTTCAGAGACCTTACTAGTCCACCTGTTTAATTGGACCTGTCACTTCTAATGTATGGCATTGCTCAAACTTATGTGTCTGCTATTATTCCATAAAACAAATTACAGAAAGAGAAACTACAATTTCTATACCCGAAGCTTTTTTTTTAAACTGATTAGTAACTCCTTAAAACTTCTACTACTAGCATAACCATCTCTGACATGCATTACAAAAATATCATGTTTAGCTCCTGCCACTAAACTATCTGTGCTCTCTACAACATCCTGAACTTCACCATTTGGTAAACATATTCTTGTTTTAGTTTTCTTGTGTGCTCAACCACACAAACAGATTACAACACACTGAATTAGAAATTCACTGTAATAAACTTCAGAATATTTTCTTTCCCTACCCAGACAGGGGTTTAAATTTATTTAACAGTTATCTAAACCTGACTTATACCTGTTTCCTGAACCCCTTTTGTGCATAATGACATCATAGTAAATTCAGTACTTTCCTTCTCTTACAAAAGGAACCTTCACTCCTCACCTAATCTGATTTTTCACTCTGATCCTTTAACACTTCCTAAAGCAGAATTAAACATTTTCTGCAACAAGCAAGCTGTGTGAACTTCACATATTCACTTTTGGGGTTCTTTTAAAATTAGAGTTTAGTCCACTATAATAAAAAACTTGCTCTGCACTAATCTTACCCTACACACACATTGTTTTTGCTTTTCACTATTCCTATCCATAATAACTAAACGAAAACCATACAAGTCTAGATCTGAGCATAAATAATAATAATAAAAAATCCCCACAAGTAGCAGGAACAAAAAAGTTAACATGTTCTGATGCTACCCAGAAAGAAAATCAAATGAACATTTAAGCTACATTATTTAGTATAAATGTTAAAAAAATTTAACTAACCTATGTTATCTATTTTTATGTAGAGTATCTTGGTACATTTTTTCTTGTGTGTGTGTGTGTTATAATATGGACAGGTCTTGTATCAGCCAAATGTACTTTGT